AGAACCTGCTGGCGCCTGTTATAAAATGTTTATAAAGTCAGTTGAATTTAAGCAACAGCCACTCGCCTCTTGTATGCGCAGGTCCAATAATATCCACTTCACTTTCATGCGCGTATCACGTGTGGCAGCTGTAATCAGCCAGCCACATCCCCCACCAGTCCTCACTCACCTGCTTCTCTCTGTCCACTTTTCATGTACATATTTTCCTCCATCAGTTTTTAAAATCTAATTTAGCAGTGATTGCGAGCGGGGATGCAGAGCCTGATGAGTCTTCTGTTGTTAGTTGTACTTTTGTTACATTGGAGCAGGGCGCAGAGCGAGCAATGTTGATACGTTGTATAATTTCATCGCCTGTTATAAAATAAAAAAGAGCACAGGCACAGTCTGAGTAGACTTTGCAAGTTCACTGTCATGCAGCCTTTGAGTGTCAGTGAGGGGAAAATGGAGCACCGTTTCGCAACAGGCATGTTTGCAGCTTTACAGCAAAGAAAACGGCTTTCTCTAGCCTAAACGGTAAAAAGAAATATGACCCATATTACCGGAGATGCCTATTTTACTTTCTATCTGGTTTCGCACGCATGTTATATAATTTCACAAACCATGTTTCAGGTCGTTTTTAAACTAATCCTGGGTCGCTAATTATTGGTTTGATAACAAACAACGTTGTTCAGTCATGTCACCTAGCTAGCTAGCAACCTGGTACTGTAACTTGACAGTAGGTTTAGGCTAATTTGATTGGCAAAGTATGAAAGGAAAAGGGTCTGCTACTCATGAGATGTGCTTCAAAGGTAGGATTCATATAGGCCTAATGTAAGCCTAAACTATTTATTTTAATTTGATTTAACCTTTATTTAACTAGGCAAGTCAGTTAAGAACAAATTCTTATTTACAATGACGGCCTACAGTGAGGGAAAAAAGTATTTGATCCCCTGCTGATTTTGTACGTTTGCCCACTGACAAAGACATGATCAGTCTATAATTTTAATGGTAGGTTTATTTGAACAGTGAGAGACAGAATAACAACCACAAAATCCAGAAAAAAGCATGTCAAAAATGTTATGAATTGATTTGCATTTTAATGAGGGAAATAAGTATTTGACCCCTTTGCAAAACATGACTTAGTACTTGGTGGCAAAACCCTTGTTGGCAATCACAGAGGTCAGATGTTTCTTGTAGTTGGCCACCAGGTTTGCAAACATCTCAAGAGGGATTTTGTCCCACTCCTCTTTGCAGATCTTCTCCAAGTCATTAAGGTTTCGAGCCAGACGTTTGGCAACTCGAACCTTCAGCTCCCTCCACAGATTTTCTATAGGATTAAGGTCTGGAGACTGGCTTGGCCACTCCAGGACCTTAAGGTGCTTCTTCTTGAGCCACTCCTTTGTTGCCTTGGCCGTGTGTTTTGGGTCGTTGTCATGCTGGAATACCCATCCACAACCCATTTTCAATGCCCTGGCTGAGGGAAGGAGGTTCTCACCCAAGATTTGACGGTACATGGCCCCGTCCATCGTCCCTTTGATGCGGTGAAGTTGTCCTGTTCCCTAGCAGAAAAACACCTCCAAAGCATAATGTTTCCACCTCCATGTTTGACGGTGGGGATGGTGTTCTTGGCGTCATAGGCAGCATTCCTCCTCCTCCAAATACGGCGAGTTGAGTTGATGCCAAAGAGCTCGATTTTGGTCTCATCTGACCACAACACTTTCACCCAGTTCTCCTCTGAATCATTCAGATATTCATTGGCAAACTTCAGATGGGCCTGTATATGTGCTTTCTTGAGCAGGGGGACCTTGCGGGCGCTGCAGGATTTCAGTCCTTCACGGCATAGTGTGTTACCAATTGTTTTCTTGGTGACTATGGTCCCAGCTGCCTTAAGATCATTGACAAGATCCTCCCGTGTAGTTCTGTGCTGATTCCTCACCGTTCTCATGATCATTGCAACTCCACGAGGTGAGATCTTGCATGGAGCCCCAGGCCGAGGGAGATTGACAGTTCTTTTGAGTTTCTTCCATTTGCGAAAAATGGCACCAACTGTTGTCACCTTCTCACCAAGCTGCTTGGCGATTGTCTTGTAGCCCATTCCAGCCTTGTGTAGGTCTACAATCTTGTCCCTGACATCCTTGGAGAGCTCTTTGGTCTTGGCCATGGTGGAGAGTTTGGAATCTGATTGATTGATTGCTTCTGTGGACAGGTGTCTTTTATACAGGTAACAAACTGAGATTAGGAGCACTCCCTTTAAGAGTGTGCTCCTAATCTCAGCTCGTTACCTGTATAAAAGACACCTGGGAGCCAGAAATCTATCTGATTGAGAGGGGGTCAAATACTTATTTCCCTCATTAAAATGCAAATCAATTTATAACGTTTTTGACATGCGTTTTTCTGGATTTTTTTGTTTATATTCTGTCTCTCACTGTTCAAATAAACCTACCATTAAAATTATAGACTGATCATTTCTTTGTCAGTGGGCAAACATACAAAATCAGCAGGGGATCAAATACTATTTTCCCTCACTGTACATATCACAAATCAATTTCTTTCTGGTGCTCCTTACATTTTGTTTGGTGCCTAACGTTTGAAAAGTTGGGAGCGGTGTGTGTTTGTGGGAGAGAGTGGTGTGTGTTTATTATGAGAGGGAGAGAGAGAGAGTGTGTGAGGAAGGGAAGGGAGGGAGGGAGTGTGTGTGTGTCTGTGTTAACTAAAGAGTAAAGAAGGTTTCATCCAGTGTTTTCCCCATAATGACATGCAGATCATTATGCATGTATATTCCTTCCTCCCATTCCTCCAGCCAAATCACGGGTAGGCTTTTGCAAATCAGCCATTCTATGCAATATTCTATTATACACTGAACAGTGTGAAGTTTAATTCAATGCATTGTATTTAGTAGAAGTGTGAATTTCAGTGACAGGTTTTTGCGTAGCACATGTGCAGAACGTTTAGAAAATGGGAACAAGCGTCCGGGGGACGGGGCGAATAGGACGCTTGACCACAGATATTTTTCCATCGTGGTATTGCGATACTACTCGGTATTGTGATACTTGGCCTGGTATTGTTATTAAAATGTTGGTATCGTGACAACGCTAATACAGACCTTAGCCTATATCTTTTTATTTATTTCTAATACATTCTAAGCCTGCATGATGCAACTAATGATTTCAAAAAAGTCCCGTGAAAGACAAGTGAGCTGCTTTTTCTTACGGAGGCTGCACACATGTCATCAGTCTCTCATTCACTATTTAACAAGCACTTGATAATATTCTCACCCATCAGACTATTCTCAATGTAATATGGTCTTTACATTTAGCCTACTAATATATGTGGAGTTATTTCACATGGCCCACAAAAAAAACATGTAATCCGTAGGCTGCACTCGAATAGCGGATGGAGGAAGTGCTTTCCATGGTTACATTTTTAATATGCCAGGTAGGCTAAACCGGTTGTAAAGCAGATTGATTATTCACCAGCTATTGGGCAATGAATGGGCTTATAAGAACACATATTTCACTAGGCTCTGTAGGCTATGAGCTCTCCAACCCTGTTCCAGGGGTCCTAGGCCTATAGGTGATGTTTGGCGTTATTTGGCCTCTTTAGTTGTGATAGGCCTAAATGTTTTGATAAGGTTTCTATGGGATAGGCTACGTGATGCATGCGACTATGATTTGAAAAAGTCTGCACTGTTTCTTGCCTTAGACTGAACACGCTGGGCATCATTCACAAGTGATCATATTCTCACCCATCAGACTATTCTCAATTTAATCTTGTCTTTACATATACTAAATCATATATGGGAGAAATTAGTTCTGATTTAGAGTGGGCCATTATCATACACCTGAATGCGCTTGAATAGCGAAGGAATGACACTTAGTTTTCATGCCAGCCAGGTAAGCTACTCCGGTTGTAAAGCGAAGCAATGTGCTTAATATTAGGAAAGTTGAGAAATAAATATAGTAGGCTTAGCCTATAGAAAGCTGATGGGATCCTCTTTTTAATAGAGACCATCAAAACTCTGTTTTCTCACGCAATTGCATAGCCTATAGAATAAATGTTGCGCAACATGGGCTTATAGGAACACTTATATAATTAAATGCATCAACCAGCTATGAGGAGCTCTTACTGCGCAACAGGTGATCCTATTCCGCTCAAACTCTGAATGCCAGGGCTCTCATAAAGGGTTTGATTTGATTTTCGATTGCATTTGCATTGATGTCAGAGTGATTAGAGGGACAGTAGAGCGCTGAGTACCAGGCCATTAGCGACTAGCCGTTAGCAAGTTTGGTAGGCTACCATCGGCAACATCAGAGCGCAGGTTTGGAGAAGCCTAGTTACCGTGACTCAACGGTCACGTGGAATTTGGTGCGGTCATGACTCATGACTGCCGGTGTGGCGGTAATACTGTCACCGTATCAGCCCTATTCCTAACAGGTGCAAACTGTCCTCTGTCTTTGGCTGTTTAAATGTACTGGAGACTAGTGTCTGTCTAATGTGATTGACAGAAGACACAGAGCTGAGTCTAGGCCTAGCTAAGCTGCCTCTCTCATGTCACTCAGTCAGTCTGCCCAGACTGGCATAACACTGGCTCTTTCCCAATAAGTCTCCCCTGGATCCCTCACGTCCTCTTTCTTCTAATCCTCAATGCATTGGAGAAGGTAAGAGGGGAGGGACTTTGGGTCATCTTCTCCAAAGTCGTTTGAGAAGGAAGGAGGTGATGATTCAAGCGAAGACTAATTCAGAAAGATTAACCTCATCGGTCATTAGTAGTCACACCACCTTGATCAGCCAATCGACACTGAAATGTAAAATACTTTGTTATTACATAGGCCTAGCCTAGTTGTTCTACTGTTGCTACAACATGTAAAACCCAGACTTCACCAGACTAGTTTCTCAGTAGTGCATATAAGCCTAGCTGGTATTGATCTTTCTGCTCTCATATCGTCAGCAAACCTCAACTCCCAACTCTACTCTCTCTGTGTGTGTGACCAATGACGTGTGGCAGGCTGGGCTGGCGGATTATGGTCGTTACCACGGTAACCCTCCGTCTCGTCTCTCTCTCTCGTGTTGTGTTGCAGACGGCCAATGGAAACGTGGAGGCTAAAGTGGTGTGTTTCTACCGACGCAGGGACATCTCCTCCACACTCATCGCCCTGGCCGACAAACACGCACGTGAGTGACACGCACGGTTCACTGTTCAGTCAAAGTCTTCACCAACTAAGCACTGTTCAACATCGAATGCCAACATTCAAATCCCCTAGTAGAGTGACTGTTCAGTCAAAAACCACTTTTAAATGTGACTTTTATTTAAACAGGTTAGGCTATTCTCATTCAGATAAAACGTCTCGCAAGAGAGACCTGTTCACTAACCACCATTCAGCATCCAATGCCACCTCATCCCCTTGTATAGATCAGATGGACAGTGACTCAAGTGTTCTGTGTATACGGTTTTCAGATGTGCAATCAAAACCTAATTTAACCTAATGACTTCTGCCTGAAGAGTGAATGTGTAGTGAAGGACATGTATCCGTCTTGGACTAGTCTAGGCAAATGTCAGTGTTTGTGTACGTTTGCTCGTCTATGCAGAATTGTGTGTGTGTTGTCGTGTGTGTGTGTGTGTGTGTGAATGACTATGTGCATGCCAGCGTTACTGTGTGTGTTTGTCTGTATGTTTCCATTGTATGTGTGTGTGTGTGTGTGTGTGTGTGTGTGTGTGTGTGTGTGTTTACTCTTCCTCCCGAATATATGAGCTAGCTTTGCGGTGTTTGAGGCTGTAGCTAGCTGTGGGCTGTAGCTAGCTGTGGGCTGTAGCTAGCTGTGGGCTGTAGCTAGCTGTGGGCTGTAGCTAGCTGTGGGCTGTAGCTAGCTGTGGGCTGTAGCTAGCTGTGGGCTGTAGCTAGCTGTGGGCTGTAGCTAGCTGTGGGCTGTAGCTAGCTGTGGGCTGTAGCTAGCTGTGACGGCTGTAGCTAGCTGTGACGGTTGTAGCTGTGAGGGTTGTGTGGATGTGGTTTCACTGGGCTGCTCATTACTGGACCTTTTTTATGTTGAGACTGAGAAGAGGGCGTTCTGCTTCAGACCAAGGGTCTGACTGACTGTAGAGAATTTAAGCCTTCTAGACTGCAGCACTCCCAAGGCCTAACTCACTGAATGCACTACTGTGTCCACCCATACAACTGAATGTGTGGGGCTAAACGTTAGGTTGGGTGTGGTAGTGTGTGTGCAGAGAAGTGTGAGAGGGGGAGGATTCTGTGGCAGTGGTTTGTTTTTTTGTGGACCACACAGTCAGCAAGGAGGAGCTCGCTCTGTGTCTCTGTCTGTCTCGCTCTGTGTGTATCTGTGGGAGAACCACTGTTTATTTTTGAGGACCGTGTGTGTCCCAGACAGTCCCACCTTGTGCGTGTTTGTGTGTATGTGTCTGTGTGTTTGTATGTTTGGTGTGTGTGGAGTATGGGCCTCTTGGTTCTATGTGCTGCCAGCACCAGCAGTCAGTCCCTCCAGAATTCCAAATTGTGCCCCAAATGGCACCCTATTCCCTATATAGTGTACTACTTGTGACCAGGACTCATAGTGCGCTATGTAGGGAATAGGGTGCCATTTGGGACGCTGCCCCAGACAGACATGTGCAATATGTGAAGTATGCATGTAAGGAATGGCTCTTCACCGCATGGGTGTGGTGGTGGGCTGTTGTACGTGTACATGGGTGTGGTGGTGGGCTGTTGTACGTGTACATGGGTGTGGTGGTGGGCTGCTGCTGTATCCTGTCTGAGTTCTGGAGCCGTCAGCCCAAGGACAAGCGAAGAGGGGAAAATTAGAGGGCCTGTTGTCTTGCCCAAACCGTGTCTGTGTTTGTAAATGGGAGAGGGAACATTACTCTCTGAGAGTGGCCCTGTGGAACATTGTCCTTGTGTTGTACCGGATGGCTTTCTTTCTCCGTTCTGGATTATCGCCTGTGTGTGCTGTGAGTCACAGATCAAATATTTTCCTTGCCGGGATTCGGTTGGAGCCTTCCCTTAGAGGGCCTCTGACTGCACCCTTACTCCGAGTCTTAGCCCCGCCCCTGTCGGCAGAGCTGCCTCCTGAGTGGTCGGTCCCAGTGATTGACATGGCCTTTTGCTCCTCTGGCCCCTCCCTCAGGCAAATGACTTAGCCTCTCTTTAATTGCCCTTTCTATTCTGAGAACTCTAGAACTTTAGGCCGTTAGTTTCAGTAAACAATAGACATCAATGGTGACGATGAATCCATTCACAAATATTAAACAATCGAGTGGTAAAGTACAGAATAACTGTTTCTCAATGTAGGCTAGTCTTCATACCTTTTTGAAGAATGCATCATTCCCTCCTCTACTCGTAATGCGTCTCATTCATCAATCATTTATAATTGGTACGGACAGGTGAGATGGAGAGGCAATTTGTAGAGAGTATGGATTGGGTGCTGTGCCAGACAATTGGCTCTGTCTTTTTAGGGGTAGAGAGACTCAGGGCTCAAGGACTCAGCCAGTCAGGGGCTGGTGATAATGATGCTACTGCACCTGTCCACCACCTGGCTGCAGACCCCCAGGCCAAAGCAGGCCTGATGGTTGACCGTCTTCTACTAGGACTGGGAATTGCCTGGGACCTCACGATACGATATTATCACAATACTTAGGTGCCGATACGTGATTCTCACAATTCTATATGCATTGCGATTCGATACTGTGATTTTTAATATTGACTAGGTACAGCCGACTAGTCAAATATAATATCGTCCAAAACTAATATTGCAATGTGTAACTATGAACTTTAACCCTACCCTGGTTCATCAGGGGTGTGCATGCACACACACACACACATATATGCAGGCAACTACACAGAAGCAAGCTTACATGCTGTAAAAGATGCCTCATCTCTCTCTGTCTCGCGCCTTCTCTAATGAAACTCCAAATGAGCTGGAGCACGCGCCTACTGGTTTCGCTCTCTCCCCCTTTCTCACCTCTGTCCCCCTTGCTCTCTCTCTAAATACAGTGCATTCGGAAAGAATTCAGACCCATTGACTTTTTCCGAATTGTGTTATGTTACAGCCTTATTCTAAAATGGATTAAATTATTTGTTTTCCTCATCAATCAACACACAATACCCCATAATGACAAAGCGAAAACAGGTTTTTATACATATTTGCAAATTTATAAAAAAAACTAAAACAAAAACAGATGCCTTATTTACATAAGTATGCTATGAGACTCGAAATTCAGCTCCGGTGCATCCTGTTTCCATTGATCATCCTTAATATGTTTCTACAACTTGATTGGAGTCCACCTGTGGTAAATTCAATTGATTGAACATGATTTGGAAAGGCACACACCTGTCTATATAAGATCCCACAGTTGACAGTGCATGTCAGAGCAAAAACCAAACCTTGAGGTAGAAGGAATTGTCCATAGAGCTCCGAGACCGGATTGTGTCGAGGCGCAGATCTGGGGAAGGGTACCAAAACATTTCTGCAGCATTGAAGGTCCCCAAGAACACAGTGGCCTCTGTCATTCTTAAATTGAAAAAGTTTGGAACCACCAAGACTCTTCCTAGAGCTGGTCGCCCAGCCAAACTGAGCAATCGGGGGAGAAGGGCCTTGGTCAGGGAGGTGACCAAGAACCCGATTGTCACTCTGAAAGAGCTCCAGAGTTCCTCTGGAGATGGGAGAACCTTCCAGAAGGACAACCATCTGTGCAGCACTCCACCATTCAGGCCTTTATGGTAGAGTGGCCAGACGGAAGCCACTCCTCAGTAAAAGGCACATGATAGCCCGCTTGGAGTTTGCCAAAAGGCACCTAAAGGACTCTCAGACCATGAGAAACGAGATTCTCTGGTCTGATGAAACCAAGAGTGAACTCTTTGGCCTGAATGCCAAGCGTCACGGCTGTAGGAAACCTGCCACCATCCCTAAGGTGAAGCATGGTGGTGGCAGCATCATGCTGTGGGGATGTGTTTCAGCGGCAGGGACTAGTAGACTAGTCAGGATTGAGGGAAAGATGAACGGAGCAAATTACAGATGAAAACCTCCAGAGCACTCAGGACCTCAGACTGGGGCTAAGGTTCACCTTCCAACAGGACAACGACCCTAAGCACACAGCCAAGACAATGCAGGAGTGGCTTCGGGACAAGTCTCTGAATGTCCTTGAGTGGCCCAGCCAGAGCCCGGACTTGAACCCGATCGAACATCTCTGGAGAGACCTGAAAATAGCTGTGCAGGGACGCTCCCCATCCAACCTGACAGAGCTTGAGAGGATCTGCGGAGAAGAATGGGAGAAACTCCCCAAATACAGGTGTGCCAAGCTTGTAGCATCATACCCAAGACGACTCAAGGCTGTAATTGCAGCCTAAGGTGCTTCAACAAAGTACTGAGTAAAGGGTCTGAATACTTATGTAAATGTAATATTTCAGTTTTTTATTTTTACAAAATTTGAAAAAAGAATAAATACTTTGTCGTTATGGGGTATTGTGTGTAGATTGATTAGAAAAAAACAACAATTGAATCCATTTTAGAATAAGGCTGTAACATAACAAAATGTCTGAATACTTTCCGAAAGCGCTGGATCTGTCGCTCTCCCACCTTCCCCCTCTTCTCTCCCACCTTCCCCCTCCCTCCTTTAGCCCCCTCCCCCACGTCTTTCTCCTCCGTCTTCCTCCTCAGACCACACACATTCAACGCCTGCTGAAATACTTTCTCTTCTGTGTCTTTTCCCACATGGGGAGTGAGGAGAGAGGGAGTATAAGAAAAAAGAGGAGAGGGAGAGGTTCGAGAGAAACATGCTGGGGGAGAAGAGAGGGGGAGTGAGGGTAGAGGATAGAGGGGGTTATAGAGAAACACACCAGTCCAGGCAGGGGATCTATATTCCCATGTATTACTAAATGAGCCCGGCACCTGCAGTGCCACAAAGCATTGACGGGAACTCCTCTGGATCATTACCCTAGCTCATTTGCATCTTTACCCTAGCTCACTGCATCTTTACCCTAGCTCATCTGCATTGTGTGAATACTATTTTTGTTTGTCTTCACCGTTTTCTTGGAAAACAAATCTAATCCTTTTGTTTGGCTCTGGGTCTCTGGTTCTTCAGTATGTGGTGCCCTCACTTGATGATCTGCCCAAAACCCCCATTTGTGTGTGAGCGAGCTAACTAACGTGACCTCTGACCCCTACCAGGAGAGCTGGAGGAGGAGATGGAGAACCCGGAGTTGAACCCAGTTGACCTGCCAGAGAAACAGAAACACCAGCTGAGACACAGAGAGCTGTTCCTGTCCCGCCAGCTAGAGTCACTACCCGCTACACACATCCGGTATGACATGTCCATACCATCTCACCTTATGTTGGCTACCTGTTACAGACCATGAGAGTTGGTTACAAGTATATGTATACACACAGCCTGGAAAACAGATGGCACTTTATTTCACCTGTATTATAGGAACGCATTGGTTCTATATAAGATGGTAACAGGGTGTGTGTGTGTCTCAGGGGGAAGTGTTGTGTCACTCTGCTCAACGAGACTGAGGCTCTGAAGTCATATCTGGACCGCGAGGTAGGTGGCTGTCTTTACTGTCCTGTCCTCACAGTCTTTATACACTGTCTTCTCAGAGAGTGAATGGTGTGTACCAAAGCCTATGGGTGGCTCTGATATATGACCATGTTGGACGAATTTGTGTTCGTGTCTGACTGACTGACTGACTGACTGTGTGGTGTATGAGTGTGTGTGTGTGTGTGTGTGTGTGTTGTGAGTCTTGCTGCTGTATGAATAATTAATTGTGTTGACCCAGAATGTTCTTCTCACAATCAGTAATGAGGAGACGAAATTCTGCTCTCTAATATGCACACACTCACTCCACAACCCCACTCAAATTTTCCATTCTTATTTCTCTAACTCTTTTCTAATGTCTCCTCTCTCTATCTCTCCCTCCTTCCTTTATCCCTCACTTCTCTTCCTCCTCTCTCCCTCCCCCTCCCTCTCTCCAGGATGCATTCTTCTACTCCCTGGTCTATGACCCCCAACAGAAGACTCTGCTGGCTGATAAAGGGGAGATCAGGGTGGGGAACAAGTACCAGGCAGACATCACTGACTTCCTTAAAGAGGGTACGTACGCCAAAGACACTCATAACTGTGGACAGTTAGCATTTCCCATAGTAAAATGTGGCACGCTAGCCTGTAGATTAGCCTCTTGGCTAGTATTCTCTTTGGTAGTGCAACCCGGGTCCTATCTCATCTCAAGGCTCAGTCAGTGGGAGGGCATGGGCGTCTGCCACACTGCCTGATGAACCCACTGCAATTATGCAACATTATGACAAGGAGTGTGTTATCAAAGTGAGTTTTACTGAGGAGCCATGTCACCCCAATAGTTTAGGAGAGGGTCAGAGGGCAGGATATTCAACGTTTTGTGAATCTTTGAAGAACGATAACCACATCACCCCAAGACTGTTGGAGAGTCAGAACTAAATTTAGTTTAGTTAACCACAGGGCTGTCTAGTCCAGTGGAGTGTATCAGACTGGGTCCTGTGCTGACTGGTTCCTAACTGGTGACTGTGCTGACTGGTTCCTAACTGGTGACTGTGCTGACTGGTTCCTAACTGGTGACTGTGCTGACTGGTTCCTAACTGGTGACTGTGCTGACTGGTTCCTAACTGGTGACTGTGCTGACTGGTTCCTAACTGGTGACTGTGCTGACTGGTTCCTAACTGGTGACTGTGCTAACTGGTTCCTAACTGGTGACTGTGCTGACTGGTTCCTAACTGGTGACTGTGCTAACTGGACCCCCAGGTGAGGAGGATGGCAGGGACCTGGCCAAGCTGGAGGAGAAGGTGTGGGACCCCAGCAGTCCCCTCACAGAGAAACAGATCGACCAGTTCCTGGTTGTGGCTCGGTAAGTGGCTCCGGTCCGATGGGCTGTGGTGAATGGGTAAGTGGTTCTACTGTAGTGGGAGGTGGTAGTGCCTTGGTAAGACTGCTGTTAACTGGATAGCCAATGTAAAATGTTTTTCAGTAAGACTGGTGGGAGGAATTTTAGGTTAGTGGCTCGGTAAGACTGACTGCTGGGGTGGAAGGGTATTGGATCAGTAAGAAGACTGGTCTGGTGGGGTGGAAGGGTTTATTCACACAGGTCTTCGCTTTGCACTATTGTCAAAAACATGAAATCTGGAGGATTAATACACTCCTCCTGCAGTATGAAAAAAAAGTATGAAAATGTATGCACTCACTACTGTAAGTCGCTCTGGATAAGAGCGTCTGCTAAATGACTAAAATGTCAATGTAATTTTTTTTATCCCTGTCTGTCTGTCGCCCATCTCTCTCCCTCTGTTTCCTTCTCTCTCTCTACTTCTCTACCTCCTTATCCCTCTCTCTCTCAGGTCAGTGGGTACCTTTGCACGGGCTCTGGACTGCAGTAGTTCTGTCCGGCAGCCCAGTCTCCACATGAGTGCTGCGGCTGCTTCTAGAGACATCACGCTGGTAAGACACACACACACACACATTGCCCACTTCCCTAGGTAAGGTCAGGGTCAGGCCAGAGGTGAGTGCTTGGCAGGAGTGCTGTTAGCCTAGGGGTATGCTGGGAGCTACAGTGTGTGTCTGTACTGTGTGTGTGTGTGTGTGTGTGTGTGTCAGTGTTCGCTTGCCATAGTGTGAGTATCAGTAACGAGCAGGCTTCAGCCTGTCCCAGACGCCACACGTTCCGGCCCACTTCTACACCTCATCTATAAAACATGGAACACAGGCCTCAGAGCTACAGCTTTCAAAGTACACACACACATCCATATACGTGAACGCGCACAATATTGACTAGAGACGCTCACACTGACTGTCAAGTGACAAGAAAATAGCCCATCCACTTCTGTTTTAGACTATGCTCTATTCCTTAACCTTGGTGGCTTTGACAAGCAGAATAATGGGGACTTTTTGCTTGGCTTGTATGTTACAAGGGTTGGTTTTGTTGGCTGGAAAACCAGGGTTGTGTTCATTAGGGCACACAGTAAACCGCACAGAAGTGTTTCTTATTGGACAAGTACAGATGGTACCTCCCCTGTTTTGAAGTGTTTCTTCTGTTTTGTGCCTACTGAACACTACCCGCCATTTTGCCCCCCCTCTCCTATCCCCAGTTCCATGCCATGGACAGCCTGGATAAGACGCGTTATGACATGACGCGGGCCATCGCTGCGCTGGTACCCCAGGGAGGGCCTGTTCTCTGCCGGGACGAGATGGAGGAGTGGAGCGCCTCAGAGGCCAACCTGTTTGAAGAGGCCCTGGAGAAATACGGAAAAGACTTCACAGACATACAACAGGACTTTGTGAGTACAGACAGTTAGGCAGACACGGTTCTTCTGCCTTGACTTGGACTAGCCTCGACAAGGAAGCTCTGATGTGCATGCCACTGAAATAAGGGGGAAGAGAAACATTGCTTAGACTGAGAGGAACAGGCTCAGTTCAAGGCTCACAATAATGTAACTCGGGGGATGGGCAACTGGTGGCCCGCGGCTCCCTTTTGTAGGGCCCGCGGATCAATCTCCAAAATGAGTAGAATTGCATGAAATTAGTTATAAAATTCCAAAATCTTCTTTCCGCCCCATGGCAAAATCTGTAGCATTGCAGGAAATTAACTGTAAAATGTATATGTTTTCTCTCTTCTGTCAAGAGGGGGGGCCGCTAAAATGTTTTGCTCGCAAGGTGGGTGGGGGCCAACAATATTTTACTAAGGGCCCCCAAAAGGCTAGGGTGACTGCATGTGTAGGTATGGATGTGGGTACGCAGACCCGCAAGCCACTGCGGCCCCTCATGATGAGCTAAGATTTTTTGTGGCCCCCACCCCCATCAAAGTTGCCCATCCTTTATGTAACTAATAGTGTGACGCTCAACTCCGAGACTCACAGGCATCTATTGAGAGAAGAGAACCCTGCATGTCTGCTGTAGCCGTAGAGATGGATACTGTATGTGTATATCTCTGTCAGCCAGGTGCTGCTGTTGCCCTGAGGGGGATGAATGAAGGTTTCTGCAGTCGTTACACCGTGCCTCCCTCTGCCACCTGGTGGTGGGTTACTGTCATTGCACTACCCAGCCCACAGCCACAGCACACCGGTTAACTCGCTGCTGTTAGGGGTGGGGCTTGCTGTCTCTGGCATCCTGACAACTCCGTTGCCTCTTTCAAACTTTTAAAGAGCGCAGTGTTCATTTTCCCGTCGAAGATCAAAGTATTTGCTTACAAAGATGGCAAAACATGTAGAAAATAGTGTAGAAAATGTACAAATGTATTGCCCTAAAGCATGATGACGAGGACATTTGTGAGGTGGAAACGGCTCTAAAGCATGATGATGACATGTCTGTGATGTTGAAACCGCTTGTCTCTCGTCCTCCCCGGCAGCTCCCATGGAAGTCCCTGACCAGTATCATAGAGTACTACTACATGTGGAAGACCACAGACAGATACGTACAGCAGAAACGGTTAAAAGCAGCAGAGGCAGAGAGCAAGTTGAAGCAGGTCTACATCCCTAACTAGTGAGTATCTATCTGGGTGGCTCGCTGCTGGGGACTGAGATACTGTGCTTCTTGTCAGACTGATACAGCAGGTCCCAATTTGCCCCCTACCCCTAACTCTTCAATGTTTGCAGATCGGAAGGCTCTGTAGTGGTGGAGCTTCTGCCAGCAATGGAGGGATAGGGAGATAATTGGGACTGGCTGCAGATGATGGTTCCCACTAGATGGTCAAGCTGCAAAGCCAAAAATGTAGCTCTAATTTAAGGTTAGGGTTAGGCATAAGGTTAGCAGTGTGGTTAGGGTTAGGCATAAGGTTAGCAGTGTGGTTAAGGTTGGGTTTAAAATCAGATTTTAAGACGAGAAATGGTAGAAATAGGCGGGGTTTATGACTTTGCAACTTGCCCAGATAGTGACGACCGCAGATTATACAGCATGTTGCATCTATGTCTCTGATCCTCTGCCCACGTCCTCATTAGCAACAAGCCCAACCCCAACCAGCTGAGTGGTAACAGTGTAAAGCCTGGAGGTGTGGGAGGCCTGGTGAACGGCTCAGTCGGAGCCGGGTGTGTGCCTGGAGCTCTGGGGGTGGTCCCACTTCCCCCAGGACAGACGCCAGGTCTGGGCCGTGCTTGTGAAAGCTGCTACAGTGAGTAACACCACAACTGTCCTGTTTCCTGGATGATGAGATAAAGAAGGATTAGACCAAGATGATGTTATAAAAGAGACCAGGAAGTACACCTGGGCGTCAAGAGTACTAGTGCTCCTTTCACTGGTTCTTCCTTCATCTCATCCTAGGATGATCTCTTCCCCATACTACAGTAGCAAGGCTCCAAGCCAAGCCTCCATCTCTATGGCTGTCCTTTAACAATGAAGGAGTGGGAGTTTTTATGACGGAGAGAGAGGCAAAGCTCAGCTCACGCTGCAGTAGAATCTATTCAGAGCTATTTTAGTAGTGTTAATTGAGTCTTAAATGATTTAAAGTCTGTCTCTGTGTGTGTGGGTGTCTCTCGATGTGTGTATGTGCATATGGATCCATCTCTCTTTCTCTCTGTGCGTGTAGCCATCAGCTCGTACCAGTGGTACTCGTGGGGTCCCCCCAACATGCAGTGTCGTCTGTGTGCCTCCTGCTGGACCTACTGGAAAAAGTATGGAGGACTGAAGATGCCAACCAGGCTGGAAGGAGAGCGGCCCGGACCCAACCGCAACAACATGGTAAACAACAACAACTCAAACTGAGATCTCATGTATTGGATCAGAAGTTTTTCCCGGATAATGCGACACTGACCAGGAAAAACTCCCGGCCCTCCTGTATAAAAACGTACAACCGTTTGTTTTGGACGCCATTCTTGTCTCTGATTGTTGTCCATTCTCTAATAATTTCTCATATATCCTCTCTCTCGCTCTCTCTCTTCCCCCACCCCCAGTCTCCCCACAGTGTTCCCATGCGTCACGGAGGGAGCCCCAAGTTTTCTGTGAAGATGAAACAGGCCTTCTACCTGCAGACCACCCAGGTGACGCGCGCCGCCCGACGGGTTTGTCAGGACATCATCAGACCACGCTTCCTCGCCCGCCACCCCTACCTCCCTCTCAATACAGCCCAAATCAAACAAGAGTGTGAGTACTGTACCCCCTCCACCCCTACCTCTTCCTCACCACCCAAATCAAGGCGGTGTGAGAGTACGGAGTAGACCTGGGTCCTGTTCATTAAGGCACCAAACGGAAGGAAACGGAGTAAAACAGGGAGGGACTACCTGGAATTGTCCAATAAGAAATGTTCATTTTCTTTTCCTGTTGCAAAATGTTTTGAAAGGTCTCAGTGGCTGTCTTATGTAACTGTCTACTGAAATGTGGTACGTGCATACTGACTCTGTGCTGTGTGTGTATTCCAGGTGCACTGCGGTTGCCAGATGAGCCCAAAAAGCCCTTGCCGCTGAAGCCAGTTGAGAGGAAGCCTCTGGAGTCTGTGGTCCGATATCTAGGTGAGGATCTGTTTTGCCCATCTGTAGAGTCTCTAATTTTCAGTCTGCTAAATGGCATATACTTTATTATATATTATAGTCTGTTTTAGCCAGTGTTGATTTTGCGATTAAACTTCTGTTTTCTCTTCCTCCTGTCTCTTCTCTGTGTCTTCTGCCCTCTCTCTCCATCTCCCTCCCTCCCGCTCTCTGTGCCCCAGAGGCCCACCCGTGCCCTCCCAAACAGGACCCCCCGCGTGGCCAGACGGTCACCACGGGCAGCCTGACACCCATCAAGTCCACAGCCAACATCCTCAACAACGGCTCGCCCACCATCCTGGGCAAACGCACCTACGAGCATCACAACGGCATTGATGGTGAGATGGAGAGGAGTAATTAGGATGATGTAGATGGAAGACGGTGGCGTTCATTGCTGCCCTCCATTGGGTTTGAGTCTGCACCCCAACGTCTTGTATCTCTTTTACTTTTCTGCGGCATCCCTTTCTCCATCCCTCCCCCACATCTCCCTTTGTCCCAATATACTACTGTAACTGTGGTTATAGATGCCCCTCTTTTTCTCTCTCTCTCACCAACTTTCCACCTTTCACTTTCTCTCGCTCTCTTTATCCTCCCCTCTCTTTCTCCCTTGCCAGTTTATTTTTCCGCACCATCTGTCTCTGTCGCTCTCTCCTTTACCCTCTCTTTCTCTTGCACCATTCTATTTTTTCCTGCTCTCTCCATCTCTCTCTCTCCGTCTCCTGTATATCCATCTCAGTAGGTTGTAGTGGAGGCTGGTTTCTTTCTCTGTGGTGTATATCGCTCTAGGCTACGGCGGGGGTTGTCATGGTAACCGAGCGGTAGCCAGGACCGATCTGAGACAGATGAGTGAGACTAGAGGGGTAGTGTGGTCCGCTGGGACCTCGCCCCCCTAATAACCCACCTCCTCTCCTGGACCACAGCAGGGCTAGTCCACACTCACTAGGGACTATGTCCATGTTCAGAAAGGAGGCGCACACATTAATGTGTGTGTTGCATAGAGAGGGAGAAAGAGAAACGTGGATGGAGAGGGGGAAGATGTGGAGAGAGACAGCTAGGCCTATAGGCCACCTACAATGAGTGGTTCTAGGGTGACTCTGCAGTGCAGACTAGCTAGTATCTACAGACATCTTCTCTAGGTTTGGAGTTTGGACGGGAGCCGAGACTCCTAGAATATGTGCTGTCTGTGCCTGACTAGTCTGAACGGCGCTTCAAGTCTTTCTCTCCTTTTTATTTAGGATTGATTTACTTATCCATTTATGGCCTTTCTCTGTCGTCCTCTGAGGTTACATATACACAAGTCCTGGACTGTACTACTACATTAACACGAATAGGCTACAGTAAGTTTCTGTCAATCTCATTGATATGCTGTATGAACAGAGCAGTTTGATTATAGCCCTATTTACACAATTGTCAGTGATATATATATATATAATAAGACACCATTCTGTCAGAGTCGGGGTTTGGGACAGGAAGTGTGTCACTAGGTGGAGTGGATCTCCTGCTGCAGTGCAGGGCAGATGACCATGCAGTACTACAGAAGACCAACAGGGGACAGGATAGGTCAGACATGAACATGCATTACTACAGAAGACCAACAGGGGACAGGATAGGTCAGACATGAACATGCATTACTACAGAAGACCAACAGGGGACAGGGGAGGTAATATTTTAATGCTGCTGCTCCATCAGTCACTCTGTGCTGAAGGCAGCGCAAAGGCTTTAGAATAGACTAGAATCCTATTTTAACAATGAAAAGGCTTTGTCTAAAATTAAATTAAATAATCTATGTGACATTGCTACATAGCCTGCAAGAATAGACCATTACATTCAACATTTTAATAAAACTGAGTTTTTATGAGTTAAAAAAATACGTACCGGTAGCCAACACTTTTCACGTGTAGCTTGTTGTTATTGTCAGTCAATCAAAGTGGCACTACAGTCAGATGCTCCATGTGTAGCAAGTGAAGTGGGAGATTTCTGATCAATGCAAAATGTAATAAAAAATTATGGGATTCAGTTGGCTAAATGAGGAAGTAGGCTACAATGATCAACCAACCGGTAAAGGCTGCTGTTTAATATGGAGTTGTTGTAGACAAGGACGGGGAGCGCAGCAAAATAGCCTCAATAAGCCTTGATACGTTAGCTAGCTAGCTTCTTTACATCGATTTAATGCAGTTAAGACCGACACTACCAGATGAGATGATAGATAACCTGTCGCAGCAACAAGTTTGTCTAACTAGCGAGAGTCGGTTTGGCTACTCTCTCTCTCTCTCTCTGTATCTCTCTCTGTCTGTCTCTCTGTCTCAAGTCCCCATTTGAAGTTTCAAAAAAGTTTCACATGCCCATCCCTAGTGTCTGTGACTATGTGGGTAATAATATCCATCTCCCCTCTGCTAGGTATGAAGCCCAAAGCCCCTCAGTGGGATATCATGGCCAAGAGGACAGCTGAGCCAGGCCGCACCACCTCTGCCCCAATGCAGCAGGTACATGAACTGGACTGACTGCCCACAGCAGGAACCTCACTACAACCTTCACACAAGGTAGGACACCTCTCGTTCAAGGATTAATTGGTTGGCTGATTGATTTGATGTATTTATTTTAGTGACTTGCATCTTTAAGATGTCATGTCCATATGGGCTCATAAGATACTAGATATTCCAAAAGTAATCAATTTACAGTGTTAAATAATACTTTATTGTATTGTGCAGTATAATCATATAGTCGAGTATAAGAGATGGTGAAGTCTAAACCCTCTTCTTGTGTTTTCTTACCCCAGGTAAATGAAACGGGAAGGCATTTTTCCACATCCAGAGATGGAGTTGGGGGGATTTGAGTGAAGGAGGGCTGGAAGCCGCAGCATCATAATTGATTGGCAATCATCTCACCCAATCAGCACGAGCCTGCAAAACTGTCAAAGACCAATGGACCAATCATCTTTGGCAATGGAAGGAATGGATCTAAGGCTGTGGCCTATCAGAAGACTTCCTGACTCTACAGGACTGTGTTTATTACTTAACCTTGTTATTACTGTCATTATTGTAATTATAATAATTATTTTTTGTTTTTTACCATCTATAACTTGACGCTTATCAGTTTAATTGTTAATAAAAAAAACGATGAAACTTAAAGTTTCATGAAAACGTATTGGCGTTGTTGCGTGGAAAACCCCTGTGGAAAAGGGTGAAAGAACGACTGTCTGTATTGTAATATAAGCCATTTGCATCTTTTTTTTACATGTTTATTAAATATACAACAAGGAGACGAAGATTCATTTCAATGACATAACAATAATTCCTTGGTTGTTTTTGTTTCTTTTATTATTTTGAAAGCTTCTAGAGTATTCTGATTCTGTTTTGTGAGCAGGCCCGACCCTATTTGGCCAGAGAGGTTTAACTTATTGAGAAAGACTGAAACATGCTGTTTTTTCTACCTTTTTCACAAGTAATGCATCTATGCTTCAATGATGTAATTAAACAGATAATTGATTTTTTTCGCCTCTTGTGGGATTACTGTTCTGGTTCTGGAACTCCTAGGCTATGTTCCAAATGGTACCCTAATCCTTAGAGTGCACTACTTTTGACCATAGGGCTCAGGGTTCCGGTCAAAAGTAATGCACAATATAGAGTAGTGATGGGGAAATAAATCGATATAGTAGAGTATTGCAGTATTATTTTTGACAATATTAAATGGATTCTTTGACTCACAAGTATTGATTCTATAAAATAAGTTTTTTCTAGGGTAGTTGGCTAGCGCTAGTGAGCTGTAACCGTGCCAAAACACAGGCATTTCTCCTTCTATAGCTTGGCCTCAATCTTCTTTTTAAAAGGTGAGCCAACATGTTTTCAGCACTTTTATTGCCGTGAAGGATCAAAACTTTTTTTCAAATGGCTGTCTTGTACATCTGCAGCAGACACCATGAGCAATATGTTTAGAACATCGAATCACAATACATATAGAATCGTGATGCATGTAGAATGGCAATCATAGGAGTCTGGTGAGGGGAATGGAATGGTATCAAACACATGGAAATGTACCAGCCATTACTAAACTCAGCAAAAAAGGAAACGTCCCTTTTTCAGGACCCTGTCTTTCAAAGATAATTTGTAAAAATCAAAATATCTTCACATATCTTCATTGTAAAGGGTTTGAACACTTTTTCCCATGCTTGTTCAATGAACCATAAACAATTAATGAACATGCACCTGTGGAACGGTCGTTAAGACACTAACAGCTTACAGATGGTAGGCAATTAAGGTCACAGTTATGAAAAGTTATGACACTAGAGTGGCCTTTCTACTGACTCTGAAAAACACCAAAAGAAAGATGCCCAGCGTCCCTGCTCATCTGCGTGAACGTGCCTTAGGCATGCTGCAAGGAGGCATGAGGACTGCAGATGTGGCCAGGGCAATAAATTGCAATGTCCGTACTGTGAGACGCCTAAAACAGCACTACAGGGAGACAGGATGGACAGCTGATCGTCCTCGCATGATCGGTACTTCTGAACATCACGCCTGCGGGACATATACAGGATGGCAACAACAACTGCCTGAGTTACACCAGGAACGCACAATCCCTCCATCAGTGCTCAGACTGTCAGCAGTAGGCTGAGAGAGGCTGGACTGAGGGCTTGTAGGCCTGTTGTAAGGCAGGTCTTCACCAGACATCACCGGCAACAACGTCGCCTATGGGCACAAGCCCACCGTCGCTGGACCAGACAGGACTGGCAAAAAGTGCTCTTCACTGACGAGTTGCGGTTTTGTCTCACCAGGGGTGATGGTCGGATTCACGTTTATCGTCGAAGGAATGAGCGTTACACCGAGGCCTGTACTCTGGAGCGGGATCGATTTGGAGGTGGAGGGTCCGTCATGGTCTGAGGCGGTGTGTCACAGCATCATCGGACTGAGCTTGTTGTCATTGCAGGCAATCTCAACGCTGTGCATTACAGGGAAGATCCTCCTCCCTCATGTGGTACCCTTCCTGCAGGTTCATCCTGACATTACCCTCCAGCATGACAATGCCACCAGCCATACTGCTCGTTCTGTGCGTGATTTCCTGCAAGACAGGAATGTCAGTGTTCTGCCATGGCCAGTGAAGAGCCCGGATCTCAATCCCATTGAGCACGTCTGGGACCTGTTGGATCGGAGGGTGAGGGCTAGGGCCATTCCCCACAGAAATGTCCAGGAACTTGCAGATGCCTTGGTGGAAGAGTGGGGTAACATCTCACAGCAAGAACTGGCAAATCTGGTGCAGTCCATGAGGAGGAGATGCACTGCAGTACTTAATGCAGCTTGTGGCCACACCAGATACTGACTGTTACTTTTGACCCCCCCTTTGTTCAGGGACACATTATTCAATTTCTGTTAGTCACATGTCTGTGGAACTTGTTCAGTTTATGTCTCAGTTGTTGAATCTTGTTATGTCTTGTTTGCTGAAAATAAACGCAGTTGACAGTGAGAGGACGTTTCTTTTTTTGCTGAGTTTATGAGCCCGTCCTCCCCAATTAATGTGCCACCAGCCACCAATATTTTGATATCTTATCATGAGGTCCGTGGCAATTCCCATCCCTGCTATAGGGGTATATATAGGAACTATATTGAATCTGATCTTTTGACTTCCAATTTATACAACCTTCATATGTGGATCTCAATCTTGATACAAACCTGATCCTCCATATGCGACCTTTGTTGATTGGACGCTCGGATCCGATTTTATTTGCGCATGACTTGCTGTTACCATGACAACCACCCCAAAATGTGATGACAGGAAATGAGCATGGCATCTGTGTGCTACTTCAGAGGCTACATCCGTGTGAATGCGCAAATCCGATTGGATATGAAAAGATAACAGATTTGGGTTCTTAGGGCGTCTGTGTAATCACAGTCTTAGTGATGGTGATGTCAATGCTGGTGTTAACTGATATACAACCGCAGAGGTTTGGCCCTGCCCACTCCCTCCAAAAGCGCTTAGAGGTCACACAGGTTCTGTCAATGACAGACAGTTTTAGAGACAAGGCTGTATATCAGGTTCAGGGTACGGGTCAATTTCATTTCTAATGGAAACTGCAACTCCAATTCCTGAGCTGTTTCTACCTGGTCAATGCTTATGCTAACTGGAGTCCTGTGTAGCTCAGTTGGTAAGATAGTGAGTTCAATTCCCACAGGTATTACATATACATACCCGTACTTAAGTTATGCACTCTGTACTGTATGTTCGCTTTGGATAAGTGTCTGATAAGTGGAATATATACCACCACCAGGGGTCTAACCCTGCCCCCTTGGAAATCCATGTTGCCTTGGAGGTCACCCAATGTCTCATTTGTCTCTCTAACTGAGAAATGTAGAGGTTCTGTCTTTGACAGTTGTAGAGATGAGGTTGTATATACATTTTCTCTGAAATGTATGTGAAATGAAATGAACAGCTAAAATACATTCTCCTGTAAATTGACTATAATGAGTGGATGAGGTACAGTACCTCTGCTTGTGACACCTGATACCCTCATTATCTCTCACACACAGTGGACCTCTAAAATATTCATACCTCAGGTCAGGGTCCCAGGGAGGCCAGTGGCCATAAAAAAGGACCTCCTCTGTCCTCACTGAGGATCTCATGACAAACTGTCTGCCTGGGGTAGAAAGGCCTGGGTCCGCTTCAGAAGGGCACACTGTAGCAAAACGTTTAGTTACGGAAGATTTAAACTAAACCTGTTCTAATTGGACAAGTTCAGGTAACACTGTACCTCACTCTCACTCAGTTTCAAAACGTTTCTCCATACTGAACACGACCCAGCTCTGAATTCTGGCAGAGCTCATTAAAAGCCACTGTTAATTGAGGTGAAGAAAGAGTTAATGAAAGATGCAAGAACAGCATGAGAAGAGCCCGTGCTGTCTCTGAGAATGTGCTGCTGCTGCTGTCCTGGCTGATACTGCAGTGAAGGAAAATGTGTCCATTTTCATCGGACAGTAGTCCCCACCGGAACGGTGAATGAGCCTGTAACTGACGGTCAGACGATGTCCTGGTTGCGGATGGTGATTCTTCACATTGACTGTTGGTCCTGAGGTGCATCACGTGGAATCTACAACCGTGGGCGACAATCTCCCGGTAAGATGTGCAGGTTGATATCATTTTTGTTCCACTTTACTGCCTACTTGAAACCGCACAGGACAGGGGTTAGACTAGGCTACAGACTGTATTTTGGTTATCCTGACAGAGGAATTCAGTTTATTCAATTCATTGTTTTTTTTTACTCTGCTGCCCAACATGTCAATGGGGAGAACAAAACGAATAGCCCATATTTCCCGCGGTTAAAACAGTTGAGCGTTTCCCGTTATTTTGATTTTTTTCCTATAATATTTGCTATTTTTCATTCTCACTGATACATATGAACAAATTGTACTATTGGCATACGCTACTGTAGGATAGCCTAACACCCCAAGCCATCACATGAGCAATCAATATTTGATTTGGGGGGAGTAGGCAAGGCATAGCCTATGGCATTACTAGGGCTGGCACAATTACCATATAACCGTGTAACCGACGGTTATGGATGAGAAGTCATGAAAATAAAATAACCCATGAAGTACAAAACTGAATCATTAGGTTGAGTCCGCTTCTGTGGTAACATGGACTCCAAACAACCTGATGAAACGTTGTTGCTCCATGCTGAAATGTAGAATGTTCATTCAAATGATCTTAACTGATGTGGCTCATGCAATGGAATGCATTTTTTGTAATGCCAGTTGAGTTGAATCAACAAATCACAGCACATATTGATGGGTACACTTCCTGCTTTTACTTCCTGCTTTGCACCAATGGGTACACTCGCAATGGCCGCCAGATGCCAGTCCACTCATTATGCCATCATTGACTTGAATGGGAATGCCTGTTCTATTCATTTTATTTACAGTGCATTCGGAAAGTATTCAAATCCCTTGACCTTTTCCACATTTTGTTATGTTACAGCCTTATTCTAAAATTGATTAAATTAAAATGTTCCTCATCAATCTACACACAATACCCAATAATTACAAAGCGAAAACAGGTTTTTAGAAATGTTTGCAAATGTATTAAAAATAAAAATACCTTATTTACATAAGTATTCAGACCCTTTGCAATGAGACTCGAAATTGAGCTCAGGTGCATCCTGTTTTCATTGATCATCCTTGAGATGTTTCTACAATTTCATTGGAGTCCACCTGTGGTCAATTCAATTGATTGGACATGATTTGGAAAGGCACAAACCTGTCTAAATAAGGTCCCACAGTTGACAGTGTATGTCAGAGCAAAAACCAAGCCATGAGGTCGAAGGACTTGTCCGTAGAGTGCCGAGACCGGATTGTGTCGAGACGCAGATCTGGGGAAGGGTACCAAAATATTTCTGCAGCATTGAAGGTCCCCAAGAACACCGTGGCCTCAATCATTCTTAAATAGAATACGTTTGGAACCACCAAGACTCTTCCTAGAGATGGCCGCCTGGCCAAACTGAGC